GATTGGTATCTTGTACTAAGGTCTAAATTATATCATAAACATTTTGACATAGTGGATCACATCTCAAGTGGGCTCAAGGAAAGTGTATGTAACCAAAATGATGAACCACTATAAGTATGGAGTTTGTTTTCTCCCATTCTTTTGCAAGTTGGTGGACGAGGGTGAAAGATTCAAGCAGTAGTATGTATTTACTTCTCCAAATATTATGCAAAAATGGTGTAAATTCCACTATCTCAGTAGATATCTGTAATTTGAATTCAATGTGTTTTGTAGGAAACTTCTCTTTTTCTATGTGTTAGTCATTTAAATTTTTTTTATTTACCTACCATTCTTCTCCTTCAATTTATTTTTCTGCCCTCTTATTTATTGTGACTTGGGAAGCATTTAAGGAGATTTCTTACCATTATTAAAGGGATTTACCAACATCAAAGCTAAGAATTCAAACTTAGGGTCCAAAATTCAAGTTGTTGTTCATGGAATGTAATGACTTACACATGATGTGTTTGTAGAGGAGGGTTGAATACAAACACAACAAATCTTCACTTTTAATTCTATATTTTGTATTAAAACAAAAAACTACAAATTTGTTACGTAAGCTAGGAAGATAAGACATGATTCTAAACAATCTGACTAGTGACAAATTGGCTAATAGCTAAAAGAGTGAGGCGCATATCAGGCGCATAGATGAGTTAATGGTTTCCTAAAATTTATCAATCTGAATCATTTGAGTCTGATCATCAAGTATAAAGGACACCTGATGAGAACAGGTGTTGTGATGTTTGAACAGTGCTTGAACCATTAAGTTTTGATCATGTACTTTGGAACAAAGTTGTTCGAAAAACATTGAATTAAGTTGGTAGCCATTTCTTCTTGAATTTTTCGACTTCCTTCAAGTCTTTTGTCAGAAGTAGAATGTGCATCTTATAGTGTGGAGATTTTTCTTTTAATCTCCTCAACATGGTGAGATAAAGAGGGTGGTGGTGATGTATTATTAGGAAAATTAATTAGATGGGAAAGTGAGGGTTGAATATTTGATCGTTGAGAATTGGAGTTTGATTTAAGAGATGTTCTTCAAACAATGAAGGATACATGGGGATAGGAATATGGAGGACTTCAAAGGATGTGAATCAACACTGCCTATATATAAAGATTGAGTACTAGTATTATGGTTAAGATCTGATCTTTCAATAATTTATTGTGGAGAGGGCATTAAGGAGACGACTTAAGGGTCGTATGTCACGGGTCTGGAGTGGTAGTGATAAATGACTTTAGAAGAAAAGTCAATATCGAATGGGTCAAGCTGGACCATGGGGGTGTTTGTAAGTAATAATGAAATATCACATGTGGCTAGGTATGCAAAGTCTTGTTCATGTCTGTTATTTGATGGTCGTGAGATTTGGAAAGATAGCAACAGTTTTATTAGCCTCATAATTTCGGAAGAAGATATAGGAACAAAGGTTTTATTGGTAACTGTTGAAGATGAATATGGCTTGTATGATGTGAAACTCGAGAACTCATGTGTGTATGGTATTTCGGTAGTGTGGAATGTGTCAAACTATTCCCACTTTGTACCATGGGAGTGGGCATAAGTTTTGAGTATCAATTGACGCCATGTGTTGGTTGCCATAGGGATTTTGGTGAATATCAATTCATTTATTCCTAGTGTAGGATTCAACTTGGAACTTTTTAATAATGATAATATATCTTACAAACATGCTATCTGTCGTTTTTTATGCACAAAGTATGTTCTTTACATATTATAGTATCAAAATCTCGCTATATTGCTTTGATATTACTCGTTTTCTTGTGCTAAGTCTATCTTGTAAACATTTCATCTATCGTTTTTATACGCTAAGTCTGTTCTCTATGTATTATATTATGAAAATCTCGTCACATTGCCCGACATTACACGCGCAGTTTCTGTTATAGCACTAGGAATCGGTCTGTGGTAAGTCTACCTTGCAAACATTTCATTTATCGTTTTTTATGCGCTAAGTTTGTTCTTTGCATATTATAGTATCAAGATCTCGCTATATTGCTATGATATTACTTGTTTTTCTGCAGTTTTAGTCTAGCAAGTAGGGAGGTTGACATCATTGCAGTAGGAATGGAAAGTCTGAGGTTTGATTTCAAACACCAGTATGCCATCCATCTGCCTTTGGGATGCACAATTTACCACTTTAATGATGGTTGTGAGACTAATATAGTGTGGACGCTACTGCCTACCTTTTGTTTCTTGACATGAATTATCGTCAACAACATAATTTACTTCTCATTGATATTCTTTCTGATTTCTACTTGCGGCAAAATGCTATTTGGGCCAAATTTGAGCAACATGATTTAATGTACCATATCAAATTTGGCTTCATGGTATTTGATAACCCAACATTTTTAGATGTTAATGGTTTCAATTTCACCAAAATCGAAGAGCATGAGTTTCATTTGTCATATATAAATGTTATGTATTTTTATATACTATACGATGAATAACAATTTTGCACTAGAGTGACATAATAGTGTTTGGGGTGGTTATGGATGATAGTGGGTGTTCTGTGTTCATGGATTCTTGTAGTGATGGATCATGAAAATAAGGATAATCTTAATGAAGAAGACGGGAGTACTATAAATTAAGAAATATTTTATAAGTAATAATTAGATTTATAATATGTACAAATTTTTTATAGAAGAAAAACAATAAATTATATAAATAATGATATTTATTAATATATCCCTGAGGCGACAACAATGACACAACTCCAAATACCAAGGCTTTAACAATTTCTACGATGAAATCAAATATTCTATGTAAACGAGGGGTGTTCAAAAATTTGATCAATCCAATCAATCTAATTTAGGGGTTATTTGTTTACATTTTAATAGTTTTATTAATATACAATATTTGAATCGTTAAGAGATGAATCTTGTTTGAAAAAAAAAAGTCTACTTCTTAATGGTTCCAAAATCTTATGAATAATTTTGTATCATGAGCCTCCTTTAACCATTCAGTACCCTAATTTCATTGTAAATAATTACCAAACATTTATATTTTATTTTACACAATATCATGAGAGTCTCTTAATCACTTTGATCACTTAATCATTTTGAACCAAACTATTGAGCAACTGCCAAACAACCCCTTAACCCAAAGCAACCCGATATCTAATCGAGCTGTAAAATCTTTAAACTATAGATATTTGATTGATATTGAGTTATTTTTATTTAAATCCAACCCAACACAATGAACCCGATACCATTTTATTTTTTGGATTTAATATGATTGTTGAGTCTCTATAATATGTACATTGGACAATTACATCATCAGATACCTTCATCATATATATATTAAATTTATTCTCCATCCTCATATATGTTCAGTTATACATATATATATGTGCGTGTATGTGCAAATTAAGAAAAATTAATCATGATATATTAAAAAAATATGAATAAATTGTACCAAATGATTGATGATGAAAAAGAAATTATAAGTAGACTAGAGGGAAAAAAATATATTCTAAGGTTAAGATAATAATTTGAGGTATCAAAATACCAACTCAAATAACCCGACCAACCTATACGATTTAAGTTAAATTAGGATTTTTTAAATCCCAAACATTAAATTAAATTATTCAAATACCTTCGAACGAACCTATGAAAACCCTTAATATTTTTGTTGCCAAAATACATTGTGTGGAGTACTATATTTGGTAAAAAATAATAATTGCACCAAACTTGTTCCATCATGGCACCAATTAGATTGATCGTATGGGATTATTGGAAATACTATCCTATACATCGCACATCTAGTCATTTACCAAATCTGACGGTTAGATCACACCAAACGGTCCTGATGAAACAACGTGGCTGCCTTTCTTGTCCTCTCTTTCTCTTTCTCCTTTTATAAACGGTAAGTAAAGGACTACAATAATTGCAATGAGTGTGGACGATGGCTACGCAACTTCAGACCCTCAACTTTAACTTTCTTGTTCAATCAGGTCCTCTACTTTCAGTTTATACTAGAATTTGAAACGAAACGAAACAAAACCAAACGATCATAGTATACGGAGCGTATTTGGTAAGCTTTTGGTGACGTCTCATGCCACCACAAAATTGTTCCTCCATAAAGTAAAAATCTAATTGTCCTAACAATACCATCATTTTGTTTTGTTGTGTGATACGGTGCCACCACTTGAAATTTTTCCTGGATCCATTTATGATAGTATGCAGGGGCGGATTTAGTATGTAAAGGGTGGAGGGGTTGGCCCCCATTAAAAAAAAATTATTTTTTATCTAGGTTAAAAACAATTTTTTTTAATACTTTCTACCATAGTTCTCTCTAGTTATCTTTCCGCTTATGGCCCCACCAACCAAAAAAATTACTTCAAAATCAAGCAAAAAACTAAAAAAAATCCCTTAAAACGGTGGAATACACATCGGGCGACTTTGTATGCTTTTAATCTACCCTAAAGGCGTCCTACTAGGCAAAAATCCCGGACCTGCCACTGATAGTATATCCTACCCGAGGGTGGATTCTGAGGGTGAGGTGTAGTATACGCAAACATGATCTCGCAATTAAAAAGTAGAATGACTGTTTAGGTGAAATCTCTAACGAAAATTTGAAATTGCAAATAGAGCAAGCTGGTTTTAGTTAAAATTTTCAAAGGTCATTCAACATAAAAACAAGGTCATCAAAGTTTGCAAATCGTGTCAAATAAACCGCCAAAGACACCTTCGATTTAAAATCAAATTAAATGGTAAAAATGGTTATTTTTACATATAAATGGCAAAGTTTGACGATGTCTATTTATGTTTTGCAAATTTTGGTTTCTTATATATGATACTTGTAGCAAGTACAAGGGGGTTAATTGGAAACAATTCAAATTAGGAGGACAGAATTGGACAGAAAGGCAATAAAACGAAAGTATTGTTAAACTAGCAACAGCTGGCTGGCTCTAATCTATCAACCACGCAACACGTTATCCTCCACAGCCCCCCATTCCCCAACATGACGACGAAAATATGTCTGTTTTCTCTCTCCACTCCTCCTCCTCCTCCTCAACTTCTTCTCAGTCACCGGCGGTCGAATTTGTTTCTACCATTCAAGGTCCGAGCTTCCACTTTTCCGGTGAATTCTTTCTCCAATCATCAAGTTGTTGTTACGAGAGAACGTGGCAAAAACGATAAGCTCATCAGTGCTCTTGTAATTTTCTGTTTCCTTATAATTTTTTCCTTTATGCATTTTAGTTTGTTATTGTTGTTGTTATCCTCGATTTACATGTTGATAATCTGTTATGACTCTTTATTTACTGATGCGTACATTGTTAGAGATATATTTCAGCTAGGTTTTTGTCAAATGTGAGATTGAACATGATAATTTTCTAAACTTGGGGGGGATGAGGTATGGAAGTAGTTAAAATACTGTTGCTGTAGTTCCACAATCGGAGTCCACTCCCGTCTTTTCAGAAAAGGTCCGTTAAATTATTCTCAAATCATGGCCAACAGTTCATATATTATTGATCTATGTCAATCGTGGAAAGTGGACTCTACCAGTAGAAGCCAAGCTAGAATTTTGGCAAGATGATAATTTGAGTTTTGCTTTTCAGACGTTAATGAATGGAGATAAATTGACAGGTATTTCATACTTGTGTTTCTTTTTTAAGGAAGATTGTAACAATTCCAAGTAAGTTATTTTTCTGTCTTTGTAGAATTTCAAGAGGTCATTACTGTTCACACTGAATTAGACATAGCACTAAAGTACTCATGCGTATATATTGGTTATAGGACAGGAGACCGTGGAATGCTCACTATTGCACGAGTACAGTTTATGTTGGTCACTTTAGTTGTACATTGGATTATTATTTCATATCATAATTACAACTTCAATGCAATTAATTACAACTAATGCAACTGGGCTGTTATGCAGTAGTCCATGCTCACGCTGGTGCTAATTTCGATGTTCTTTCACTTCTGCAAAAGAAGTATTTTTGTGAGCTGAAAGTGTAGTAGTGCCTATGGAGATTGTCATTTATTGCTATTACTTGCTAATTATTTTGAACCAAGAGAATTTCGTGTTTTTTTCTTCACCACGATTTGTATTTTGAACTATTAGTACCTAATGACAGGAACTTATTATCTTTTAACATGCACAACTGTAGAAGCAGTTGTAGAGAATATAGGACCAAAGGAGTGTACAATATGCATTAAACTAGGAGGAAACTGCCAATCTAGAACCTTTGAAATTATTGTTTTAGACCATTGAAGTTTTGAACATTGTATCCATTTTTCTGTGATAGGCAAAACATGGGATCAACAGTTTGGAGCTTCCTCTAATTCAGCATATGCAGTTGCCTGATCTGGAGAAACTTATTTACCTATTGAGTGGTAAGTTCAAACTCCTTACGGTGCAGCTAGTTGCTGCAACTGCTTCTTTCTTATTAGAGTAATATTTGCTGGCCAGATAAGTACAACTTAATTTTCTACTCCCTCATTCTTCCTTTTATTTGAGCCAGGCCATTATAACTTTTCCTTCTTTTATAGTCGATAAATAGTGATGCATATTATGTGCATATTGTGGCACTAACACCTTATCTAGCACAGAAGACAGTTTTTTCAGACTTATAAATTGGCATTAAAACTGACCAAAACTTGCTAGTCCACTACTTTGTTGGTCCAACATATTTTGCTAATTAATTCTATGAAAAAGCGTCCCATTTTGAGGATTGTATTAGCAGAAAGTAAACTTGATCTCATTAGCTTGCTAATGGTGTTCATTTTTTTTTTCTGTGATCTTTTGCTAGCAGCCACTAGTTTTGATTGGATCATCATAACTTCACCCGAGGCAGCACTGGTTTTTCTTCAAGCTTGGAAGTAAGTTCTGAAATTGCCTATCTATAATCTCGAGTTGCAATTGTTCCGTGCATTTTTTGCTCCTCTTTTTAGTTTGTATTCAGGCTTTTTCAGGTGCTGAATTTACTTAAAATCACATATATTACTAAGAAAATTCATGACTTCCAATGAACCTTGCTCATATTCTTTATTCATGCCTTTCCACTCTATTCCAACATGTATTCAAGTTCTCAACTATAAATAGAAAAATGATGCAAGCTCTCTCTGTTGTTCATATTTGTGTCAGATGATGTCCTACTCAAACTGATTTCTTTTTAGTAATTTTAGGTGAAATTAGTTTAGTGTTTGATGGGGAGATGCAATCTTCTATGGTATTATTTGTTTGGATTTATTAAGTGGCTGGAGCGTAACGTTTACCAAATTTTATGGCATGTATTGCTATTGGTTGCATACTAGTGACTGGCATAATGTAGCTGCATATGTTGTGGAAAGAACTTTGATTCCCCAACTCCTGTAAAAGCTGCAGCTAGTTGATAGAGTGCTCAACGATGTTTCGAGCTTCAACAACCAGAATTTTTATTGTTCAAGATGGTTAGGGCACATATGAGGACCAAGAGTTTCTTCATAGAGGAAATTGATGCAATTATCTTTCTCATTATAATGAGGGTGAGGGAAGAACAAAATGGCAGATTCTACAACCTAACGCATGATAAAACAAGCTTTTGGTAGATGGCTGATGTTGCAACTTGCACCTGTAGAAGTAGAAGAGAGGTGTTAAATTCCAAGTTTTGAATTATCATCATATGGAATTTGCAATTTCACATTTTGCATATTATATATCGTGGTAATCAGTAGGCTCCAGATATAAGTTATCCCATAAAAAGAAAAGATCGTGGGGCAGTTGGGTGATAAGATGCGTTTGTAAGGAGAGAGTGAGGTTATCCATCACGGATTCTCCACTTGTCAAATAAAGCTTCATATGTAGTCTAGGCATGTGACTTGATGGTCTTCTATTTTTTTTTCTTTTGGGGGGGGGGGGGGTTGTGGTAACATGTTGCTGCTACCTCAGCATCTGGTTTAGTATTGTGTCTGCCCCAATACTTTGCTCTTTTACCTGTATAGTAGTAATTATGAGTTTTGTCCTGGCATTAATTCCATTAGCGTCTTATTTATCACCACATTATACGGTAATAAAAATAATAGGCAGATCTGAAGGAAAAAAAGTACAAGGCATGATTTGCTAAAAGATAAACATGCACGAACATGTGTATCAAGAAGGACGCTCACACACAAGAGAGAGAGATGAATAGAAAACGGAAACAAGTTAAAGATACCTGAAAAGTACATGATGTGATTTGCTAAAGGATAAACATGCATGAACATGTGTATCAACAAGGATGTTCACACACAAGAGAGAGACAGGGATACCAAAACGGAAATAAGTAAAAGGTACCTGAAAAGGATATGGCATGATTTTCTAAAGGAAAACATGCATGAACATGAGTATCAACGAGAAGGGTCACATGCAAGTGAGAGACAGGGATATGAAAACAAGTAAGTAAAAGATACTTGAAAAGTAAGCAGGAGTACCAAGGTCTAAATGATCTAGTTTCGTCATAAAATTGAATCATAGATGCATACTGCATGCTACTGGTTGGGTCATTGAGTCAAATATGGCTAGGCTTCTCGGTTTCTTCTATAGTAATTACTAGGAGCTCACACAGTCCCATTGTTGCTCCTCCCTCAAGATAAATTTATATTCCAAACAACCTCATGCACAACTTTCCTTTTTACTTTTCAGTCATCCCAAAAGGAGACTAAACCATGCAGCTTGAAAGGACATGGAATATAGGCCCTTTCCTAGGACAAAATGCAATCTGGTTCATGTGCATTGGTGGTGGAAGGGCATCATGGATTAGTTAAGCTACATGGCATGTTTTATTTTAGAAAGAAATATGTTAGGTTCTTCATATATTTGATCCAAGCAAATTTTCTTGCTCTGAACTGGATAGCTTGAAAAGGTTGCCATTTGAACACTTTTAGTCATTGACCAGTTACTCTCATTTCATCTACAATCTTAGAGCTGCTGGGACCCCCAGTGTCAAGGTAGCTGTGGTTGGAACTGGTACAGCAAGCATATTTGACGAAGCTACACCTTCATCTAAGCAGTTAATTGAAGTTGCCTTTACTCCATCAAAAGGTATCTGTACATGTCTTCCATTTAAGAGTATAGAGTATTTATTAGTATTACCCATCCTATGCTGTATTTTGAGGTAGCTGGCCAACTATATCTATTAAAGATGATCTAAACAGCTGTAGAAGAGAATGTTAGCTTTGTGATCTTCTTTGCAGCAACTGGCAAGGTTCTTGCTTCAGAGCTGCCAAAGCATGGGAGTGAAAGATGCACTGTTTTGTATCCTGCCTCTGCAAAAGCTAGTCGTGACATAGGTAATTGCTTCGGTTCCTAGTTAACAAAAAGAAAGTGCTTCGGTTCCTTTAACTTTTTATTCCTGTTCTCTCTTCTCCTTTTGTTTTAAGAATCCACTTTGCCAATTTGTTCCATAAAATTTTATCCTGAATAGTTGTTTCAAACATTGGTACATGGCATTTTCAATTCATGTGATAGAATAATGACATGAACAAACTATATGGAAGTTAACAACAATTGGCTTTCTCTTTAATAATGATGTGCTTATTCCTATGAACTTTGAAGCTAAACATGAAGACAAGTTATTTAATTCAACTTTTTGTATCCAAACCTCATGGTTAAGCATTCAAAGGAGTATAGTCGGGAAAAAGAATTTCTATCAATTACGCTAGTAACATGGCAATATACCATATCATTTTTATCCTCATGTAACACTGTGATTCTTCTGTCGACATAAATATATTGCTAATACGTGAACATTGTTATAATTTAAAACCAACTTACAGCGACTTACATATATATCTTTTCCTGCATATTGGTGTGTTCCCATTACACTTAAAATCCCTTTATGGAGACTTGTTCGACCCACGTACCTTGCAAGTAAGATGATCTCGCATGGCAGCTGAAAAATGTCTCTTTATGGAGTCGCTCTTCCAAAGTTAGAGTTACTTATCAACTTCATATTTTCCAACTTTGTGACATATTTTGCCATGTCATAGGGGTGATCCCAATACTCTGGAACCATTCAACTTTCACAACTACGAGCTGTATGTCTTGGTCTGTTAGTCATATTTGCTACAATATATGCTACTCATACAAAGGCTTTTCTGTTTTGTATGCAAGGGGAATGGTGACAAGCCTTTTTGGTGAGAGGAGGTAAAAAAGTAAACAACTACAGTTGATTTATTAATTTAAGTAAGTAATAAGTTCATTCAAGTCTTAGTGTAGGAGGATGCTAGTTTTGGTAGTTAATGGCTGCATTTTGCCTTCGACGTTATATAGTTCGCAATTCAAGTCTATCCAACAGTTGGGTGCTGTAAATATGAGCAGATGGGTCTGCCCAACATACGAGCTCAAACTTTTTCCCCATCTAGGATAAGAAGCTAACCATGCCATTTAAGCTGTGTCATGCTTGCACAATGACACCATAACTTTTAACATTCGGGTACTTAGTTTTTTGGCGCTAAATGATGAATTTTTTTACATTACCTTTGAAATGTTGTATCTATCACCTGCAGAGTTTGTTATAGAACAATTTGATATTAGATATTTCATTCATAAATTACTTGGATTTTTTCAAGAAGTATTACCATCCAGTGAGTTGTGGTCACACTGCTGATTTTGGTCAGATTCTGGAAGAACTTTATGAATTAGTATTTGAATTAAGGATGAGAATTGCTTGTGTTGGCAATAGTTTTTACAAAACTGCTCTTTTGGTGAGCACATGCTGTGTCTTGATCTGTGATGAGAATATTTGCATTACATTGTTTTACCTTTTTGTATGTTGTTTTGTTGCAGTCGCTTACCGATATAATATACTTCCTTTACCTCTCCGTTTTTAAAATTGTACTAAAAAGCATACCATGGGTTCTATATTTCAGAAGAGGGCCTTTCTAAGCGTGGATTTCAGATCACAAGATTGAATACTTACACGACGGTATATATTTTAGTTCTGACAATGTTGGTTTAGCAGTTCTTCGAGTTGGGAGCCCCTCATTCACATTAATATCACGGGAATAAGGCCATTTGTAAGATATCAAAAGCAATTCACACATCTAAGTTTTTGAAGTTCAGGAACATATTTGATACGTCAATTTGCTTGTAGTATGTTGACTCCCAGTATTACAAGATTTTCTGTAATGATAGTTTGCTTATTATGTTAAACTTTGTCAAGTTTTAGCATTTGGGCTATTATGCTTTCACAGTTATATATATGGTTGAGATTTTTTAACCGACTACAACCATTCACACATGATATGTTTCAACTCAGTAAAACAGCTTAGATGGAGCAGGGTGTTTATTGATGGTCGACTTGAACATAGAATCTGCATGTCATAAGGTGAAACCTGTAAGAACTTGTCTAATGTTAAAGCTTATGGCTTTCAAGAGCTTTGTTTATACTATTCGGTTGTGCTGACACATTAATGATGCCCATGAGCATAAATGTAATGTGAAGTTGTACAGCTCATCTGTTATGGAATAACTGTAAACCAGAATCATATGTTTTCATGCTTTTAATTTTTGCTTCCAATATTGCACATTATGATGGCGTATTATTTTAACTTACATTGATTTACAGGTATGAGATATTAACTATTTCTTGCAGTTCTGATTTTACCTTGTGTTTTAGGAACCTGTCCAACATGTGGATCAAATGATTCTCCAGCAAGCACTGTCTGCTTCTGTAGTTGCAGTTGCATCACCTTCTGCAGTTCGGTAATGTGTTTGGTTTAGTTTTCTGATGCCAAGTTCTCTTGATATGTGCCATTGTGTCTTACAAAATTGCATTTCAGCTTATTTTATATTTTATTTAATTCAGTTCCCTGCACGTTCAAAACAATAATAGCATAAATAGAGGGTCTATTTTCCTTGCCGTTCCATAATTCCTAGAACTTACTTTGTAGTTTCTATATCCGGTCTGTCTTATGTGTATGCTCAATGTTTTGGGTTCCTTGAGTGTCGATCTCCTTAATTTGATGACATGTGGTTTTCTGATCATGCATTTTAACATATAAGTACTGATAGCTTGGCAAAATCCACTACCATTTTCATCAAACTACACCTTGCCTGTTTGCTTTATTTGAGTGTACAATTTTTCTTCTAATTGTTTATGCTACTTTTACATATCTTTCATGTTTTAGAGGGGAAGATTGTCCCCTAAATTTGTTAATTTTATCTTGTGACAGTGCTTGGGTCAATCTTCTGCCTGAACCAGAGAACTGGAGTGGTTCTGTTGCATGCATTGGTGAGACCACTGCTTCTGCTGCCAGAAAATTGGGATTCAGAAGTGTATACCACCCATCCAGCCCCTGTCTTCAGGGGTAATAATTCCTATCTCCTATGATTTTGGGAACTGTACTTATGCTACTGTAGTGTTATTAGAGCTGCCACTTTTTATTTACTCTTTGGTACGCACATTTGTGTTTGACAGATGGGTTGACAGCATTCTTGATGCTTTACGCATCCATAATCAATTCTTGAAGGTCTAAGACCAATCTTTGGGGCGTCTTGTTTTCCAGGTAAGTTATTATTACAGTCGTACACATCTTCGACCATGTTTTATTGGAAATGGTCTTGGAGGCCAATGAGAATGAATTTGATATATTTAGGCAGTGAACTTTTGAGAAGTCCATTGAGGCCATCTAACTCTAGTTTTGTTGTACATGTTCCATTGCCACTGATGTTGAGATTTCTTTTTTCCTTATCATATAAAAAATATAGCACTAGGTTTAATGATGATGATGGTAGTGGGCTACCATCAACATCCAAATGAAGCCAGTGCAGCAGATTGTAAATTTTTTAATCCTTCTCCATGTCTCTGAATTCATCACTTTTAACAGCGACTGTAATGCTGGTGAAAGTTACATCCAGAAGAAGTGAAGTTTTGTCACCAAGTGGAGACCTAACTAGGCTATAACCATAACAGGTCTAGGCCCAGTAATAGAGCATCCCTCTGAGCAAATAAAGCTGATTGTTCAATATCCAACAACAATTGCCTTTATGTCTCATGCAGTGATGGTGACTAACAGAAGCCCAACTTTATTGAAATCCACAAGGTAACGATGAGAGCTTCATGATGATAATGGATATCTTAAAATGTGTAAGCTTTGATCCAATCTATAGAAATAACAAGCCAAAATTTTAAGGATTACATGGCAGCAGGGGAAGTGGAGATGCAGGAATTTTTTTAATGAGATTTTCAGGAATGTGAATAAAACTGAGCTAATCCTGAATACAGCAGCAATACTCTATGGCTTCTGCAGTGATGAATTGGGGTGGGGTTTGAGGAAAGAGGCTGGCTTGGTGAGAAGAGGAAAAGAAAATTTACTGATAATGAAAATGATAATATTAGGTCATTATTTTGAAGTATTGTAAGATTGTACCATATGCATATGTACATGTATCTCAACCAGTTCGCTAGTTTAAATCATTAATGGTAAATTTATGTGGCCAGGGGGGATATAGTTATATATGAAAAAGGGTAGACACCATCCTCTGGAGACCGCACTGTTCCCCCGACCATTAATAGGGGAGGTAAATCATGCATACATCCCATTGGCAGAAGGGTGGTGCCCAGGATCGAACCCAGGATCTGACTTTTGCCTACACCCACCCCTACTGGGACAGATTAGTGGGAAAATATACAGTCATTTATGTGTTGGTCGCTGGTTGCTTTTGGCCAGAAATAGGCGTATTTGAAACTAAGAGTTTGAATGGCTTTAATGAACTTCTACAAATTCCTTGGCAAACTGAAATACTGTAAAATTTTCCTATTCTCTACTTGATCATTATCCCTGTTTTATTTATTTCTTATTTCCAATTATGAGTACCCTCTTTCCTTGCAAGATTATGAGAGCTGATGCAAATCGCTAAGTGTGTGAGCACATTATGAGAACAAATTACGCCCCTGTACATTTCTAGCAACACCATGAGAGGTAAACAGAAAGCAGGAAAATATTGTTCTTTTGCTACTGAGCGGCGATCGTTTAGAGGATGAAATTATCAGAGGAGTGAAGAATTTCTTGTGGAGGCATACTTGTTTAATTGTATATATATTTCTAGGCTGTAAATGCTTATTTTCTAAATGTAATAACCAATAGGGTTCAACTTGCTTCTGACTTGTCTCTTTTTAACTTTCAAGAGGCCTTGTAAAACCAAAGCAATAATAAATGAAGAAGTGAACTTCATATTTCTGCCTAATCATGGAAATTCCTGTTATATTTCATATGCTTAAGTTTAATTTTCTGTGGTAGTTGTTTGGAACATTTGAATTGAGCTCACCATAAGAATTGAGGTTGTCATGAGGATGCACAGAGGCAGAATCATTCTCTGGTTTTTTCCAGTTTATTTATATTTATTTTGTTGATTCATGTTTTGTTGTTGTAATTTTCACAATTTCTGTATAGTTCTTTTAACTGATTAATTATAACCTATATAGCAATCAATTATGTCCTGCTACACATAGGAAAGATATGTTAGATTTGATTTGATGTAAATGGTGTTCGACGATATTGCATTACAAGAGACGAAACAAATTTAATGACAATAAAATAAACTTCAAATTTGGAAAGAACTTCTCGGTTATCAACTTCGGTAATCAGACATGGAGGAAATTGTCGAGGCCTATGAAGAACACAGTTTCCTTAACTCAAACCCGTCTTGTCTTCCATGCTAGAGACTTTTGGACGTCTATCTCACAGGGTACAACAAGAACAGATAACCCTTGAACCTTCCCTTGTGAAAGTATAATTACTTAGCTGACTAGTAGACCTGAGGTCCTTAAACTGTTATGCCTTTTGCGAAAAAACGATGATATACCTTGCATAAATAACTTCTTGACATAGTTTGGTTCTCATTGGCATGTTCATTGTGGTCATGAAGATTTAATGGTTTCGTAAGAGCTGTAGGAATTGAGCCCCCTCACAATTCCTTTTGAAGTGACCACATTTTTCTATTACATAGGTCATCTCACTAGCATCATTAAGTGCAGTAGGCTTAACCTGATACCACCATCACTGTTTATTAGAGGAATGGATGGGGCTTAACACCCCTTAAAAAAGAACCAGTGATTCAACTTAGTTCATACGGTTGTCAGATTGAACCTAGATCTTGGGATCTCCGGTCAGCTAGGTTGGGTTTCCTTTATACAAGCCTACTCATTTATGGGCTTAAGTTCCATTCCCTTTGATGATTTGCTCTCTATTTATCCATTTGGTTAGCGGATCCACTGCCTTCGAATGTCTAGACTTACCCTTATTCATATTACTTTGTATCACGGCAATCATTGATCGACTGTCACAGGTTTAGGTCATCTTGGAATGTCTTCCAAGTTCTCCACACTTGTCCAAAGCCATGAACTCGGACTCCATCATGGACCTGGAAACAACTGTTTGTTTTGAAAATTTCCAAGATATAGTTGCACCTCCAAGTGTGTGGTCGTACATCAACTGGTTGATTTGGAGTTCTTAATCTTTATAATCTAGTTTGCATCATTATACTCTTCAACAGTTTTAGGATATCCAATATAATGCAATCCGTATTCTTGAGTGTACCTTAGGATATCAACACACTGATTACACCCTTTGACTTCGAGTGTTACTGACTCGGATCACTAGTCTATCTACTCCGCCTGCTTAATGCATACGCTAAGTTAGGTCTGGTACAACTTGGTAAGTACATCAAGCTTCTGATGGTTATTGAGTACTCTAATTGAGCATCACTTTCCCCTCAATTCTTAGACAACTGTTGATTAGCATCAATAGAGATTTTGGCTATAACAGAGTCCCAACTATTGAATTTCACTCGACTTTTGTCAACATAGTGCGTTTACCATCTGGAGTTCCCTTGCACTCATCAGTTAATAGAAAGAGGTTATGTTAAGCACACACACAATGGTGAATTCACAATGAGACCAGATACAGTTGTGAACGTAACACGAAGGTCCTTCATAACAAAACAAAATTCCTTCCATAGTGCAGGTCATAGTCACAAATGTCTTGGGCACTTCAGTACTGTTTGCTTCAATTCTATCAGTTATGAGAGTGCCAATTACCGTTAATGAAAGTTTGCAATTTTTAAGTACTGATTTGTAAAAGCTTCGATTCAATGTAAATGGTAAGTAGACAAGATAGATGTAAATAGCATTTGTTCTTGTGATACTGAACTGGAACAGGAACCTGACAGGTATTTGATTACATTTTGACGTGTGGCATTTTGGATAATACATTTTATGCTGTGTATATCTGGTTTTATTTTCACATATATATTATGTAGCTAGCAAATTAGATATTACATTTTATGCGGTGTAATGCTGTTTGCTGCTTCCCAGCATCTGAAACTATCAGGCCATTTTGGTCAAGCAATGTTGAAGGGCTTGATCTCCCTTGCCAGAATTTGATCCCTTAAAAGAATCTGCATCACAAGCTTGAGATGCTTCCTTCTGTTTTATTGGTAGTTTTTCATCATAAAAGAACTTTAAATACAATTGAATCAATCCCAGGATTAATTGCTTATTGAAGTTATTTGTTTCTGACCAACTATTCAGTGGGGTTTAAAGATTATTCTGTTGAAGGTGGAGGAAGTTTCCCCTGAAGGAATGATGAGATCATCACCAGTGCTCTTTCTGGTTGGTAGCTTGGGACTGTATGCCCGGCGCCTCTTACTGTGGTCAGTACCACTCCTTTGTAGCCTACCACATATCCTCCAACCTATCACATTGGTAGCATTAGCTTGTCAATTTCGGCTGTTATAGCATTTATTTAATTTTTACTGGTTGACACTCGGGCTGTTATTTAATATGTCGAGCTTCGAAATACTCTTTACCTCTTCGTTGTAGTACCATGGCCGCCAAGCAGTCTCTATTGGAAGCTTCAACCTGTTTACGGAGTACCTTGAGGATGTTACTGGTACCCGTCCATCAATGTCACCACTGCAAATATTTTCATGGATTAAATTTAAGTTGCCTTCACATGTACAACATGCTAACTTGGTTCATTCTATCAGAATTGTAGTCTAGAGTTTGGTAAGCTTCAACTATTGTAGTCTAACTCAAAGATGGACAATAGGAATAAGTTTAGATTAGGTCAACTCACCTGTATATCCAGACACTAATACCACTTTTAATTAGCTGATTGATAGTAGGCAAAATGGTTGTTGGGCTGTCTGTCCATCCAACACCGCTGAATAAGAGAAGCAATAGTCAGCCCTTTTATCTTTGCCAAGTAAGCAGTGTAACTGAAAACTTGTTCAACATGATTGCAAGTAAAGGTGATCTGTTCTGTGCATCAATACTTCTAACAATCATGAGAAACCCTTGTGCTTATGTGCATTTGGAAAAGAGGTACCCGCAATGTGTCCATGACGTATTTCTGACATGAAGAGCTTCTTGCACTTCTGCTCGGTTCAGATAGGAGGAGACATATCCATCAGAGCAAGGATCAAAGCTCTTAACCTAGTTGCAGTACATAATGTTAAAATAATGGGAGTTCAATTAGAAGTAATGACTGGTTTTTGACAAACTTTTCCCACTGCAAATTAATTCATATAAGCAATTTTGAGAGTTTTTTTGAAGTATATAATATCTATATATTTCTTTTGAAGTATATAAGCAATTTTGAGAGTTGCCTGTTATATATTTGAATCTGAGACTTACAGATCCAGGGGTTTGTGTACTGCCATCACAGAGTGGAGCATAGATGTTGTATATATCAATTCCACCATATTCACCGTCTCCTTGGCTTTGATACTGATAGCACGCATCCGAGAAATTCCCAGAAACATAGTCGCAGTTTTTGTTGATTCCTGCATTGGTCTCATCAGAGTTCAGGGCATGTGTCCAGTAGTAGTCATACATCCCTTCATAAGAGGTACTGTCATCTATCCAAGCATTCCCAATCTGCAGAGTCATATAACATTCCAGTCTGGCTCATTAGTACGTAAAATCAGAAGGGATGTTATATCATTGTGCATATATGTACCTACCGCAATCCCGCTAAGATTAATGATCGTTTGGTTTGCTTTCTTGTTCTCTGATAGAATGAGGGCAGCAAGCTGAGGTACATAGTGACCTGCATAGCTTTCACCTGTAATAAAGAAACCATGGGTTTTGTACTGCGGGAATCTTTCTAGCCAGTTGAGGAGGAAAGTGTAGGAGTCTTTAGCTGTGCGCTTATCGCCTGTTGTGTAGTCGGATGATGTGTTTGAATAGGAGAATCCCACTCCAGCAGGTGACTCCAAGAATAGAACATTAGCCACTGTTGGTGTATCATAATTTAGACTTTTGCATTATATATGGAAATAATGGATGCGACTGTTTTTGCCACTTTGATGAAAGAAAGGATTTTTTTCTTACCGTTGTTCCATGCATAGTCATTGCGGTGGAGTGTTTTCCCATCATTGTTTACTCGGAATGGTCCAAGTTCTTCCATGGCTCCATATCCAAAGGATGAGCATCCGGGCCCTGTGTGGATACAGGACTAGAAATGGTGATCTTAAAAAACATAGATGATCATGCTCAAATTATATAAACTTGATAGTTCACTTACATGACTATGTCAATTACGCACAAGACATAGCTTGATTTATGCGTGATTTAGCACTAAACGACATTTGACTACAACAAAAATCGGGTTTATACTTTGCGAAAGAGTGTTCTAATAGATTGCTTTATAGGACTTAAGTTTATAGGACAAAATAATTGTGTATCCTATGTGAAAACATTGGAACAAGTTTATAGGATGCTTTTGGACATCATAACAAGATTTTTAGGACTGATATACTAATTGTTTTATATGATATCATTTGAAAAAGTGTCCTATAAAAAAGATGTGTTCTCTCATAAGTGTCCGGTAAAAAACTAATTTATTTTACAAGCTTCCTAAAAAACTTGTTAAGACGGCCAAAAGTAACCTATAGACTTATTGCGACACTTCTACATAGGATGCACAATTGTTTGATCTTATAAATTTAAGTCCTATAAAGTAGTTTATAGACATTTTTGGCGTTCTATAAACCTGATTTTGTTGTAGTGTGTTCTACCTGCTATGTTGTTTGTTTCAAAGTTTGGCAGTTGTAACAAAATCAAGTATGACTTGAAAGAAATCCAAAAACTTGTGCACGTTTTCTATTCTGATGTAGATTGAAAGCGAGTTGTGTTACCTCCGTTAAGCCATAGGACGAGAGGTTTGGTTGAAGAGTTCTGAGGTGATTCAGCAAAGTAATAAAACAAGGCCCTTCCAGCCTGTGGATCAACTGTTACATAGCCAGCATATTGATCAAGATCGACTTGTGGTTGGCCTGGCAGCCTGTCAATCCTGTCTGCTTCCTGTGACCCTTCTTGAGGTATAATATGAACCGGAGATAAGTTGGATACATCCTGTTCAGTCCATGGATCTGCGTTTGGCGGACTCTCAGATCCTCTCGATTTGATCAGTTTGTTGAGGTTCTTGATCTGGTTATCCGCACTTGCAACGGGAAAACCAAGAAGGTAAGGTGAAAAAACTAATAGCAATAAATATGAAATGTTGGTCATTTTAGATGTTTGCATATAACAACCACTATCATGCATATGTGTGTGTATTTATATATGTTGCAGTTATGCTGTTCTTGAACAGCATAGAGCTTTGATGCAACCGGCTGGATTTTCCGATTAATTTTAACGTCATTTCCAAGGCTCATATGTTTTGTTCTCTGGATTCTCCGATTAATTTTAACTGTAAGTAAGAATCTTGATTAGAATAACTGTTGGAAGCAACACAAGGGTTCAGGACTGGTCAGGGCATCAAAGCCCAAGGAGCATAATTTAAGCCCAGTGATATTATTACTGATAAAAAGTTTCAAAGTAGCAACTACAAGAAACTTTAAACCTCATGTAGATGTGAACACTTCCTTACCACTAAGCTATTAATGTATTTTGATATTTTTTCCCTCCTATTTTAATCTTATTAGTTTTCTTGCTGATTATTTTTTTCTTCCTTGCATTTTTTTTTCCGACTTTTGTCTTGTTTTCATAGAAACATTAGTTTATCTGAAATAAAATTAATCATATTCAACAATTAATACTTTCTATATATTTTTGTTTTGAAAATCATGTGATGATATTTGTAAGTTAATTATTCTTTTTGCCAAACATTTTTGTATGTAGGGAATTAATAGGATCAAACTCTACATAAAACAATTTAGACCTCCGGTTAATTTCAACTCGGAATCACAAATATTTTTTGTTATATTTTTTTAATATCAAACCATGTATGAAATAATTTATATTACTATATAATTTCAACTATTTTTTTTGTGATTTCTGTAGTCATGAATATGATTCTCGAAGATTACCTTTTATTTTGTGTCATATTTCTTGATTCAATGTTGAATCTCGTAATTCAATTTTATTGTCATCCATAATGTGGTTTGTTGCCTAAAGCTATATATGGTTGTTTAAATTGCACAATGTTCGCTACTCAAGGATGTTCAAATATTTAAAAATATGATACACGTATAGTATTAAGTTTTTCAAAGTTTTAAGACAAATTAAATATCTTTATATGGTCGTATACAATTAGTTTGAGCATAACTATCATTATATGCAAGTTTCTAAAGTTCATTTTAACTTGATATTACATTATGATATTATATAATCATAAGATATGCATTATAAAAAATAAATTATTATTCAATAACAATAACAAAAATGGGCTTAGGTATGACATATCACATACCTAACTTGATTAGGTTCTAAATCCTTTAAAAAATAAGAGCAAAATGCAAAAAATAGCAATTTATTTTCATAAATTTCTTTATTATAGCATTGTACTTTCAGTTTTTCTTATTACATCAATGTACTTTCAAACTATTTTTTATTAGGTCAATGTGCTTTGAAAAATTTACCCATTATAGCATTGAATACCTTTTGATTTAAATTTACCCATTATACTAGGTTTCCATGCCACCTCATTGTCTACATAGGTTGTCCACATGTACTATAGTGATGTGACTTTCTTACTACATCACTGTACTTTCAAAGTTATTTTATTATAGCATCTACTAGTTTTTATTAAACAATGTATTTTTAATTTTAATATTTAGATATTTTACATGTTATTTAATAAATGTATTAAATGAATTAAAAAAATTATAAATTATTCATTAATATACCAATATCAATAAAATTAGTAGAACACAACTTATCTCGCTAAATATTTTAAAAAAATGTGTTTTTTGAAAAAAGGAAAATAAGAATTGTTCCTTTTTTACCAAAAAATATTATATTTTAAATAATATATTACATTTGTTCAAAAACTTTTTACTTGACGTATAAATATATTAAATTAATTAGATTTTTTTGAATTATTTATTAATATAACAATATTAAAAAATTGTAGATAACAATTTATTTCGTTAATATTTTACAAAGAACTTTAAAATATATGTATTTATTTGAATAACATAAAATAGGAAAAGTTACATTTTTTACAAACAAAATATATTTAGAAAATAATGTTCTATATTTATTTAATAAATATTTTACTCTAAGAATATTTAATTTGAATGCAACTTAATAAGAAAAATTTAAAAAAATTTAAATGTTTTTTTAGATTATAGCAATGAAAAATGAAAATAACTAATAATAATTTGAAATAGGTTTTTATTTTAATTTTAGTTAGGTCATCAAAATGATGTGTCATCCACATCACCTCATTAAAGCCACACACGCAAAAAAATCAAAGGGGTAACCGGTTTAAGAGGTAACAGGTTACCCATTGCTATTATGGGTAGATTTTTTAAAGTATAATGCCTTAATAAAAAATAATTTAAAAGTACATTACTGTAATAAAGAAAAACAAAAGTAGAAATGCTATAATAAGAAATTTTATGAAAGTAAGTTGCTATTTCATCCATTTAACCCAAAAAATAATATGTTTTATTTGTAATTTTTAAATAGTGGAGATATTATTTTACTTTCTCGTCCATGACATGAGAAACCCTAGGACTGGCCTCGCAAGGGTTGGAATGTTATGTCTGGGTTCCGTGGCTCACAGGTTAGTGAAGTATTATCATTCCCTTTGTGGCTATTAACATTCACCTTTTTAACATAATTAGGTTTGTGAAATATATTATTTGATTGTTCTAAAAATAACGTATTTGTTGGACTTCCACATCCGATCATTAAACGTGTATATTTTTAAGAACCTCCGCTTTATAAGGGATTTTAGAGAGATTTAAAGGGTTCCATATATCCTAATATGATATCAGAGCCGGTGTTTTAGCTTATTGCATTATAAACATAAATAAAATGATTGATTTAAAGTCAAAGCAAGAGAAAAAACAACCACCGCTCGACCGGATCAACTTAAAAGGGAATTAGTTGTTGAGGCCATGGCCACCGCACCATTCTGACCTAGATATCTTGAAATCTGTAGCACGTTTCAAGCTCCATTGGAATGATAAGAGAATGTTCAGAGAGCGATCCTTGTCATTTCCTTCCAAATGTTCTGCTTCAAACTCATAATGGTAAAGGGAATCCGTGCAAGCAAGAAGCTCCTCCAAAGAGACTGAAGACAATAAGCTCCAACCCACCAATTGAATATATGTTTCCACAATTGGTAGTTTATAACGGATAAGTGCACCGCCCTACGCTCTTATCGGAACTTTGATCCATCTAAAATGCCAAATGGAACTGCAAAGCTTTCTTGGAGTAATTGAGCACCGTTAGCTCCGAATATCTCATCTGCAACCAACACAAAAATTTCGTTGATCAAGTTGACCGTGAAGACTGAACCACCAAATTTCCAGTGACCTAGGTCATGCGAAAACTCACGTTAGCCATTGTCTTCCAAGCATTAAAAATATGATTTTTGGGAAATGTAGTGCTAAATTTTGACATTTTAATATGTGTAAATTCACACAATAAGGGCCAAATCCTCCATAGCTCACTTGACCTTAGACAACTCTACAAGTTGTTTTTAAGATTATAAACTAAGGAAGAGTTTATGACACTTTTAATGTTGGACAAGTGATATGCCTAAAATTCTCTCTCTCTCTCTCTCTCTCTCTCAAACACACACACACACACACACACACACACACACACACACATATATATATATATATATATATATACACACACACCTCTCTCTCTCTCTCTCTCTCTCTCTCTCAAACACACACACACACACACACACACACACACACACACACATATATATATATATATATATATATATCTCACCAATACAAACAAACTTCAACTATTCTTTCTATGTAGGACAAAGCTCACTTTGAATCTTACTATGAAGATTATATGTACAACTATCCTTCACTTAGTCTTCATTCAATAATATCAATTATGCACAAGTAAAAGTATCTTTCGAATTGAAGTTTAACTTAGTATCAATTATTCAAGATTCTAACTAAATCTCTGGCGGCTTATAGCTTTTGAGCTAAGATTTATATATTTAAACCGCAATAATCACATACACAATTGATTATCAAGATATGTTCATAAACATATAACACCATTATAGCCGTGTGCTCAACCTGGATTCACGAACACTAACAAAAGTTGACCCAAACTTTTGTTAGAAGCAACACCACCTCTTATGTTCATGGAGGTGAAATTCATTAAGCATTGAATTTCATTAAGATTTTGACACTCATCCTAAAATGATATACTAGATTTAACTAGTATGAACCTAGTTGGATATCAACAATTTATTACCATATCCATCAAAAAGTCATATGGTAAAAGGGTCAACCAAATTATACAAGTTCTTACATACATAACTGTCATTCTCCCGTCGAATATTAACTCTCTCACATATAAATGTCTCAAACTAATATGTCTAGATTTTCCATTATAAATCCTTTTATATGCTCTAAACAAGGTTGCCTCACTATTACGATGCAAAGAAATTACTGACATTGGTTGCAGCGACAACTTCATATCCAGTAATATATTTCTATGCCCCTTTGCTTCTTTGCTACCTCAACTAAGGCTAAAAACTCAACTTCCATGGTGGAATGAGTTATGCAAGTCTGTTTCTTTGAGGCCCAAGAAACAACACCACCACCAAGCATAAAAATCCAATCACTTGTGGATTTATTATCACTATTACCAATAATGTATGATCATATTAAGGCTTTAATAAATGTATGATATTTGATTTCATGTTTTAGCAGCTTTTTTGTATTATTTACTGGATTCACAAATTTTAAATCAATAAAAACATAAATTTTATTTTCTGGGCGATTTCCAACGGATTAGTGGCTGATTAATCCGCTGGAAACTTTTAGAATAAATTAAATAGAATATTGAAAATGATTGTTAATCTGCCGGTAATTTAATTTTTTAAACTAAAATCAATTTTATGAAAAAAAGTTCTTTCAAAGTTTAATTAAATTACCGGTAGATTGTCCGTCGAAAATCCACCGATAATTTTATCCTAATTATTAGTTAAAGTAATTAAGTTAAGAAAATTGAAAATTTTAGAAAACTGTGTGGCGGATTTATGGTAATTTTTCCGATAAATCATATTCCCTATCAGGAAATCCGTCGGTAATCCCTTTTTCCAGAGGATTTTTTCGCTGAAAAAAGTGCCGTGCCTTGTTTTCTAATGCTTTTTATATTTCTAATGCATGAATTTACTTGATTCTAACATAAATAACATTCCCCTAAATAATAGCTAGAAAATGGATTCAAGGGTTTTGATTGGGCTAGCTAGGTATAGCATCATATAAAGATATTTCAAACTAACATCATAATTGATTTATTATGAAAATACACTTTTTTCAGCCAAAACTAACAATTATTTTCAAAGTCAATTGCTAAACATTCTATGATAAAGTCATTACTCATAGATTTTGGGAATTTTCACAACTGTTTTGATTGACGGACAAAAATGCGGTTACTATTCAAGAATTTCTT